GTGCGAGCCAAGCCAAAACAGGAAAAAAGGCGTGTAAAGATAAGGAATGGTTTGTTTGCGAACAATAGTGAAGAACGGTCTGCTACGATGTCAAATCACGAGTACTAGGTGCAATAACTGAAAGTGGTGTGTGGGTCAGGCGTAGTGTATAAATCCTAAACCGATTTTGATAGAAAGGGCAGGGTCACTAAAAGTCTAAGAAATTTTTGAATAAAATTGAGGTAAATACTTCCTATATATATATATATATATATATGTATAGGGAGATAGAAAATGTCTGTTAATAGCATTACTGCATATTGATTACTAGTCATTAGAATTTAAACGGGAATCCGTCTTAATTAAGGCAAAAGCTATGTCATTAAATAACCTTAATAGTTCATAAGATGGACAATACAAATCCAATTGTGTAACACTACTAATTTTTTTTATAAATTTTAGACTAAAAATAGCATATTAGTCGCATCACTAAGTACGAAGTAAATAATATATACAGACAGCCCTTTTGAGGCGATAAGTAGATATTGACCAAGTGCTTGTAATCCTAGGTCGCATAAAATTATGTAGGTTGGTAGCAGAATATTTTCATTAGACATAATTGGACTAAACTCCCTTGTTTCCCGAAAGGCCTGATCATTTAGAGTATACTACAGTTTAAACCATACTTAGGGATCATAGACATCCTACGAGTATTTGAAAACGGGTCGCTCATGGACATTGATAATACGGTCTTGCACCCCATTGAGGTGTTGATGAGGCTTATAAGTGGTAGAATTTGTAATTCACCTGGAATGAGAATGCATTTTGGAATGCAACGCTATACTAAATCCAATGCCATCGTTAGGCTTACCTATTTCATCGTTACTGAAATGTAAGATGATCAAAGTTTTTATAGAAAGTAAATCAACTAAATTAAGTCAAAAGGCAAGCTATTTTGTCACCAGGATGATCAACAAATAAATTAACAGTCTAAAATTGAATGAATATAAAAATTATGATTCAAAAACTAACCTCTAGGAACAAGTTTTTTTGATAATAATACACGAAATCTAGTGATATCAGACTCCAAAGCAACAACAATTCTATTATTTGGCAATATTGGTTCTGGATTAAGACCTTTTAGTCCAGTTTTTCTAACGACATTATTATTCTGAGCTTTTGATTGAATAGAAACCGTCCTTTTCAACATATCCGTTAGAATATCTTTATTGTTTCGCTGTCTCCAAACATCTGAAAATATTCCATAGATCATTGTTTCCAGTATCACTGCTTTAGCATTCCAATTGAAACCAGTATAGGATAGCAAAGTCGCAAAAAAGCTAAGGACACAAGATGTAGAAATATCTTCACACCTTAAATCAGGGCCCTGTGTTTTCATCTTCTTAGCCCAAACAGAATATGTCTTGAGAATTTGCCGGACAGAAGAAGTAGTGTAGCAGGCTTGGGCAAGACAACCCCAGGTTACCTAATGGATAATGTAAAAAATAGAATAAAACGTCTATGCCAAGAAGCCAAGTAAAACAGAGTACAAAAGGTTGTATTAAACAGTACCGAATCTGGAGAAAAACCATGCAGTGTAAGTTTATTAAGTAGATCGTATGAAGGAAGTCGAGCTCTTGATCTCCGCAGAATGAGCATGTTAATTATAGGCACATCAGGAACCATTCCACGTGACTCAATAGCTTCCAGGAAGGAAAGTTCAAAGAAGTCCGCAATGCTTTTACTCGAAGAGGACAGAATTTCTACTTTCTCATCAGAACTATGTTCTTCACCATGAAGAACAGATAAAGGAATTTCCACCGGTGGTAAAAGCGCAGCGAGTTTAGTAAAAAGTTGGAGCCCGGGCCGTGAACGATAAACAGTTTCCATAGTTTCAAGAAAACCAAAAAGACCACCAACTAAGGCTAAACGTTGCCAAGGAAGCCAGTCATGTCTGCAGTGTTTTTGAGGCAAAACCTTGATTTAAATAAGGGATTTTTAGAAATCAGAGTAAGATATAAAATCAAGATAAAAAATTAGATAAACAAGCTTTACATTATTTTACTTTATACCCTGGTAGCCAGAAATGATAAATTATTATAATATATGGAAAGTAAATGACTAAATTAAACTTTACAAAGAAAGTATAACAAAGAAATGATAGTCTATCAATGAAAATATAAATTGTATGATAGGATAAATTTTTATAATCAAATGAAGCAACAGACGCAAGTTGGAAATTTAAAAATCAATGAGGCAAAATTGCAGTTATTTTCTACAGAAACTACGTGGGCACTAATAAGAGATGTTACGTAGAGTATATCACGTTTAATCATAGTTAATAAATCTGAAAGTTCGAAATATTTTACTCTCGAACATGAGGTGTACAACTCTTTAAGACTTAGGGACTATACCTTGATGCAATGCGGGAATGGAATGAGAAGATTCAAGGGACTCCTGATAGCAAGTCGCTTGTCGGCCCAGTTGGGGCGAGCTATGTACATAATTTGAGAAGATAAGGTCGATAAAGGCTGATTTTTCAGATAAGAGAATGATGATGTAGAGGATAGTGAAGATAAAGACGAATTCGCTAGAATAGATGGAGGTGAACAAGAATTTAAATGAAAAGTCAATTCGCGTCCGTATCGGATTATGTAGTTCGCATCGGTCACAAGTCCAGCTACTAGACGCTGGGCATCAGCAACCACATTTTCAAGATTTTTCTGCTCAATAAATAGTTGATCTGGCATTTGAGCCTCAAGGTATCTGTTCCCTGGTGGCGTATTGGTTTGAGATGATTCCAGAAGCCGGAGATATTGTGCGTGATGATTATTGGATTGGGGTTGCGGATTAGAATAGCCTAATTTAGAGGCTTTCCAAAGAGGCGAATTTTTTACAGCTAGATAAGGGCGATCGACAATGATGCACATCTCACTAACTGGTAATGTTACTGAGGATAAACGTAGACGATTTGAGTTGTCAATGGCAAGTGCAGCAACAAATGTCGTGAAGCAATGGGGCGCCAGTTCATCCTGGTCAGTCAAAAGAGGAGCAAGGCTATGCCAAATAATGAGCAATAGCTCAGAAATATCCTTAGTCCGGTCGACAGATAAATGAGGTGTTTTCTTACTGATCCCTAGGCCACTATAAAGCATAAATGTACGAAATAAATGAAATATGAGAAATAAGGATATGCGAATAATACAATAAGCAATGCTTAGTCGTTCTTATAGTTCATGGTATGAAAAAATAAATGAGGCGTGAGTGACCATTGATGATAATGGGTAAGACAAAAATCCTCAATATGACTTTCATAAGTCATGAAAATGAATCCAAAAATAAATTAAAACATCGCCAGACCCACTTAATCTAGAAAAATTCCCCTTAGTTGAGATATAAGGTAGCTTTCAAGAAAAGACGTCTCCATATCTTTTATAAAGCCATACATCCTAAGCCTTAGAAAAATATTTTCTGGATTGAATCTACGTTTGGGTTCAGTAAACGGTACAAATAAAATAGCTTCATCCGATTTTTTGGCTTGTGACACGTTAATGGTAAAAAAAGTCTCAATTCAAAGGCCAGTACACCGGCCTTCCCCTATGCCTACTAGGAATTTCATGAGAAGCGCCATAGTTAAGGGAGACTCCAACGTGACGAAAATTTAGGGCTGAATCTCCACGCCTTATCAGAAGTTGCAATCGAAAATCCAGAGACCAGGACTTTATATAATCAGAAGGTTCATGCACTACAGCGTCGTACCCAAACAAGCCAAGTCACGGGACTAGAGAGACGGATTATCACAATTTTCACAGAAATTCGGCATCATTACGAACTCAAATAAAAATCCATTTGAGGCAGCAGACGACCAGAGGTAGGCATTCATAGTTTGTTTTTCGTATATAAGCAAAGTTTTGAGACTACCAGTAAATCAGTTATATGAAATGTATTCACCCTATTTGGTTTAAGGTGATGAAGGACTGGTAGTAGAATTTTCCTATAATTATATGAGTAGAGTTGACGTTTCCATTCAATTTCACATAGTCTTGCTTTCCCAAAACGTGTTCTCATCCAGGGTGGACTGGAGTTTCGACCTCACATAGGTCTTCTCAACACATCCAGCGAGAGTCGAACCGTTATAATGCATGTGAGCCTGACATGTTAACCACTCGGCCACATTGCTACGAGTGCCCTTGGATCACAGGGCAGATTGGAATTTCAAGGAAGGCCAGAACCTTTCCCATTTCACATTATTGGTGGGATTGTCGATGAAGTAAACTTATCTTTGCTATAATAATCGACTACATTACTCAATTTTCGTATATAAGTAGTTTCGAGACTAACATTAAATCATTTATATGAGATGTATTCACCCTAGTTCATTTACTCAGGGTACAAGGGCTGAATAAGGGATAATGCCTAATATTTGCAAAAATGAAAATCCGAGCCTAGACGCTCTGCACGGTGAGGCCTCTAAAGGATTAATAAAAAGTGTCTGAAGCAAAACGTATTCTGGGACTGAAACCGAGTGAAACCAATCAACCAGAAAGATGAGAAACGGATTTACGGACCTGAAGGAGATTCAAATAGGTCCAAGTCACGGGTCCGGAATAAATCAGCAAACCGAGAGAGGCAACGTAAATAGCATGTGTGATGACGTCACAGTAAACTTGCCAGAAAGGACACACTTATAGAATAGTCGAAAATAAATAAGACAGAAGCTGTGATAGAGTGGGAGTAAGATAAGAGAGTAGGGAATAGGTAGATTTGTCAGGACGGAAAGAGGAGTGAAATCACAACCGTTACATAGAATGTATGTCAACGGATTGGCTTGACTTGTCGCTTTGGCGAGTTGTAGCTTGGTGCTGAGAATGGGAAGACTTATTGAATATATTGGCCATAAGCTTAAGACTCAGAAGTTGTGGTTAAATCTAAGAACAACACTTAAAGGCGATAGGTACAAATAGCGAAAACTTTTGTTCTTGTTCTCACAACGTTTAAACCTAATGTTCCTTTCACAATGGTTGAGTGAAAGTATGAAACTATCCTAACTTTCCTTACCATGAGGCCAGATGATAAAATAGTCATCCATGTATCTCTCTAATGAGGAATACATTTTCAGACGGAGACCATCTAGTCAAGGCTAGACAGACTGAGACCTTTTCCCATGTCCTAATTATATCGTCATGCCCTCTCTCAAAAAATATAGGCGAATTAGTAACAAGTTGGGGATAAAAACAGTGTTTAAAGAAACTCTCACACTTTATTTTGCTATGCCACCTTTTAGAGAGAAATATGACCCCTTATCGAGCTCCGGCTGCTACAAGATTATTTACTCATGTGGTCCATGTTATGTCGGTGATACTTGCCGACATATTCGACAAGGATTGGGAGAACGCAAAAGTGTTTGTAAAGGAAGCTGGGTCCAACGGTCAGAAGTGGCTAAAGACATGGTAGAAACTGGACATGAAATAGAATGGTCTCAAACTAGTAGGTTTGCTGATTATGGTAGGTCTGTGGTTAAAATAAAAGATAAGAGAGGTTATTAAACTTGATAGCTTAGGAAATACGTCAGGAACGGTGGTACAAAGTTGAGAAGGAACTACTTATGCTTGATTGATAGATTGAAGGAGAGAGAGGGTGTTGAGCCGCCGTCCAAAAAAGCCGACTCAATTATCCTGCTCGGTGATGGTTCTAATTTCACCCACACTTGTCCAGCATGTTAGATTAAGCTGATCAACCAAATCAGACGTGCCAGATTACGAAGCCCCAGTCATGCCTTTCCTTGAGGGGTTAAACGTTAATGACCCTAGACTGAGAGGTTAGGACAAGTGGTTTTGTAACTTTTCTTAAATGCTTACAAGCTCAAATCTCATTATCTCTAAAATACTTGTTTACGGACTTACGTAGTCTTGGTCAGAGTTCTTGGGTCATTAGGCCTTGATGATCAGAGCCTGACATTAGACTTTTGATAACTCTTATTTAAGACAGGTATTGCGTATAGACACTAACACACAGAAACACGCACACAATCGAGCAAAATTAGTAGGACCAGTAGGAAGGATAATTGGCCAAACGACCCTATATCTATTTAGGTTTTTGATTCTTTTGGATTAATCGAGTCTATATAAGAG